ATTTTTATTTCAAGTGGCATTAAAAAGTCTTAAAAAGTCTTGAATTTAACTTGCCTTATGCTGTAGGAACCCTGGTTACACTAACGGCCACCCCTGGCCACCCCACTCACCAGTGTAGATGTTTACTTTACTCTTTATGATTTCTACAGGCAATAGTAGATTCAAACCCTGAAATTATGGCTTTTAGTTTCAGTGCCACCCTAAGATATTTAATGGCCCCATCTGGCCCCCTCTATGAAACAGTGCTGGAGGCACCACTGATACCATGTGAAAATCCAACTGGTGGAGAGCTGATGCTTTGGTTATGTTGTTTTTACAGTTAATACATTTGAAAAAAATACCTCGATAGATCATTTTAATTCTATAGATAATTAAAAGTGAGGGAATCTGTCTAAAAACTAAAGTTAAATAACCACTGACCAGAGAAAGGGAGCAGTGATTAAAAAAATAGCAGCAGCCTTGAAACAAAGGCTGTACAGAAAAAAACACAGTGTATGGCAGGCCGCTTTAACACAAAATCATCTTTATCACTTTTAAGTTCCAGATATATGAAATGGATGTATGATACAAATACAAACCAGATAAGTAAACATTTGTCCAGAACCAATTTTCTAATGTATCTGATTACATTCCAACGTGTACAAATGATGTCAGGTTTACCATTAAGTTTCACTGAGGCTCCAATTCATGATATCTGCAATAAAAGACTGCCTCTCTAAAGGTATATTCCACAGATCAATAAAGTAATTATTACTAATCATAAAGTTCATTTGAAGAAATCTTAAATGTAATCCCAGATATCTGAAATTAAGATACTAGTTGATGCTGAATGTATTTAGAATCATCAAATTTTCTTCAAACTAGCTTTTTTCTTCTAGAAAGCTTTTTATGTCTAGTAAACAAGTCCCAGACTTGCATAAGATTTTGGTGGAAGGTACAAACAGTAAAGCGTTTTAGCTATTTCTGCGTTTGTTGGTCAGTGGTTTGCAATGTCAGACCCAGACATGAGCGGTTAAACCTACAGCTGCTTATTCTGTTGCAGTTTAACAGAATCCAGAATGTAATAACAGATTGTCAGAACATCTTGATTTTATGCAAAACCCATCTTCCAAATATATTTAAATCATTCAAAATGCGGTTAGAAATTAATTTAGGCATGAATGAACCTTGGGGTTGTAGAACATTACTGTACTTGCATTATGGGTGCAGCCTTTGATGTTAATCCTGGGAATTAAACTCAATGTATAGTTACTCAGATTTAGCCTCAAGCATTAAATTCATTGAACACTGATGAACTCACATGAAGAGTTCAGATGACTTCAAGTACTTTTAATAAATGTTAGATGTTTATCAGATGCATGTGAATGAATGTAGAACACATTCCTAGATTTTCTCTGATAGTTTCCCGCTTTGAAAGCTCCCCTGAGAGTAATAGATCTAAGACATCCCTGCAGGCTTTTTCACACCTGCGTGTTTTTGGATTATTTTCGGCTGAGATTCTTTTTGGGTTTGAGCTTTGCTCCAGGCAAGGATTCATGTGAACACCCTACCGAAGCAATACCTAGTTTGCTTGCTTGCTTTACATTGCATTCCGTCATTCACACGCTAATAGTGGTAAGCTACATTGTAGCAACAGCCGGCCTGGGGCTCACTGACAGAATTAGGGCTGTCGTCCACAGGCACCAGCTCTCTCTTTGACCAGCAACTGCAATAAAACAGACCTGGGGTTCAAACCAGCAACCCTCGGGTTGAGGAGGAGTTTCTGCATCCTATGCCACTTTTGTCCCAGCTTCTCTCTGCTGATGGCGTGCAAGTCTAAACCCGTGCTCTAGGTGTTTATACTGACCTGCTGGTACAGCTTCTCAGTGGGAATTAGTTTAGAAAAGTATAAAAGTGAGAACAAATAACTTATAAACACAAAAAAATGCCTTTGTACCCTATTGCAAACATTATTTCCTATCAGCTTAAATTTGATTCTTGCAAAGTTTTAGACTCAAAAGGATAAAACAATAAAGGTTTTGTGCCATAAATTTAGAGTTTAACTCTATAATTTGTGTCTCACCTTTCTCTGTTGTTTCTTTTGCGGTCACTCTCTCTTTTAATGAGGAAGTGACTGATTTGTGAATTTAAAGAAAAAGTCTGGTCAGAAAGGAATAATCAACTGATTATTTATACCTACAACTCATACGTTTGGGTGATTTAATGAATTTAGCATTAATTAGTAAAACAATAAAAATATTTTTTCCCGATCAATGAGTCTGGGAGCGGCCATTTTTGCCTAAATATAGTAACACCTCACTCTTGACATCTTCCTGCAGTGACGTCACGGTGCGGTAAGCCTAGCGCCATTCTCCACACTTACATGCACACACTCCAACCTCATACCGAGGCTTGTCCGCTGAGAAGTCACAGTACATGCCCTTGTGTGGGTCACACACGTCCCTCTCATTGCAGCGCTCTCCTATCTGCCGTGCACAGCTTTTGCAGCAGCCACAGCCATCGAGGACGGAGCTCACGCCGGGGGCACAGTAGGGTCTCTCACCACACTTGCAAGGCCAATGACAGAACTGCCGCCTCTCAGCCAGCGCCTGTCCTCCTCTTGCTGCCGGCAGTTGCCCGTTCCTCTGAGCATCACTGGTGTGCTGCATTAAGGGAAGGAAAAACATTAATTAAGACCTGGTTTTAGCTTGTTTTATAACACAGGGCTCTCTTTAGAGGTACACTCAACCTAAAAAGTCTGTCAGCCAGTAGAAACAGTCAGATTTGGTACAAATGCAGACCAGTGAGGATAGACTCTGAGCGGGGACTAAATAGTGGACTGTATAGTGAACTCAGTTAACTGACCGTTCAGAAAGATCATCACTATTTCTCAGTCCCTGTTCACATAACACAGTGAATGCGCCATCTTTGTTATTAGTCGCTGCTACAACATATACCATAATGCTTTGCAATGAGAGTTCTTTCAAAGCAATCTGGGATATATCTGCTCATCTAGTGACCATGGATGATCACTACTTTTCAAGGTGCATTGTGGGAAATTTTGAGTCCACTACTTTTTCATCCTATAGACATTCAGACACTAATCCAACATGGCATAACCACTACATAGTGCCCTATAGAGTAGCAGCCATTCAAAATAGCCCTTCTCAGTCAAACCCCAGCCGAATGGCTGCCCACTTACGTCCAACTACCAGTGAAACTCCCTCAAACTTCCAGCCACTGGATTGACCCCCTCTTGTATATTTTATTACTCTGACTGCACCCTTTCATTGAATTACAGGGTCTGACCAGGAGATGATGCTTCTCTTTAGATCTTAATGTCCACAAATAATGACAAAAAAATATTTTAATAGAAATATTGATGTTTACAAAGGAATTGTAGGGGACCAGCCAAGGACCAGCAAAGGACCGGACAAGGGACCATCAAGAAAAGTGGGAACATTTTGAATGCCTACTACTGTATAGTGATTAGGGTGGATGTTTGCAGAAAGCCTTTATGTCACTTTTGGTCTTGGAACAATGGAAAGTGTCACCCTGCAGGCAGTCGTCTTGGTTACCCTTTGGGATCTATTACCCTACTATCAGATCTTGGTTAAGAGGACAGTGACAAAGACTTGTTCAATCATCTGCCATTGGAGCTGAATTTGTAAAGGCTGATTTATGTTCAGAAACCAGGTCGTCTGCGTGTGTGTCACAGTGAACACAGATATGCCCCCCCGCCCCTGCTGCAGATACTTTGGTGCACCTCTCCAAAACTGTAGGTGACCTCAGACAGTGCCGCAGACAGGAGGCCTCTGATTGGTCAAATCTACATCCACTCTACACTTTGCGTATTTCCTGTTTGATACCTTACCGGCTTGTTTTGTTTGTATGACCTCCATTTTGGAAAACGACTTGTGAAGATGGACCAGCTAGAACAGCGAGGTGCACTAGAACGCTGGGACCCTTTTTCGCACAAGTTTCTCCTTGGATTTTTCCACTTCCTCACCGCCTCGGCCATATCTAGACCCACAGCAAGTTCTTGATTGTCCCTCTTGATTCCCTCGTGGAATCTGTGCCATCAAACTTCTAGGATCAGGGTGGACGATACCAGCAGCAGTCTATCTGCAGGGGCATTTTAACAATATGTGCAGGTAATGATCTTTGGTTGGCCCTCCTGATGACTACCATTGGTTTAATCTGATGTTGTATGACTTTATGAGAGCCTCTTTTGACATTCTCCATACATGCTTTCATTGCCAACAATCTGTCAGGGTTATTAACTTGTTTTTCATAAAGTGTGATTACAACACACTTAGAGGCACTTAACTTAAACTGTCAAATGAGGGAAAATGTGACAAAACATATAGTCTGTCTTCCTTTACACTGCTAAGCTCTGCTGCTACATGCCTGATAATCGACCTGTCAGTTAGGAAACATGATTATAAAAGGAAAATGGCTTGTACCTGTTACACCACAGATCCCTCAGTATTGTTTGCAAAATCCTTTGAAGGTTAGGATTCCAGAGCAGATAGGTACATGCCCAAGAGAATAAATGCGCTCCTAATGTTTGCTAATCCCACACCGAGATGCTGGGTGAGGGACTGTAGCTGAGAATTAGGATGAAGATGCCTCTCAAATGTATTCTTCAAAAGGATAAGGCCATATTTAGCTTGGAAGATAATATTTCAGTTCATTGATGAAGTATCCAAATGAGGCTGGATTTAAAAGGACTGGTGCCCTCACTACAGAGGATTACTTTATGCTCAGATATGTCAGCTTTAGATTTCCTGAATTGATCTTTGTATTCATCCATCCATTTTCCATCACGCTTATCCCAAGCAGGGTCGCGAGAATGGGCAAACAACCATTCACACTCACACATAAAGAGAATTCAGAGAAGCCAGTTAACCTAACAGTCATGTTTCTGGACTGTGGGAAGAAGCCGGAGTCCCTGGAGAGAACCAACGCATGCTCAGGGAGAACATGCTAACTCCACACAGAAACACCCCGGCCCAGGTATCGAACCCAGAACCTTCTTGCTGCAAGGCAGCAGTGCTACTGTACCCACTGCTATTGTATTGTTTCATATCTATGTTTACATTGAAAATATCTTTGATACAGTGGCGGCTGGTGAAAAATATTTTTGGTGGGGCTGATATAGCCTAGTGTATGTCTCCAACTAATCCAAAACAAGAATTCAAACAAACAATTGCACAATAAATACAATTTAACAGTAATGATTTAATTTACTATATAATAACAGTAACAGTGATTATTCGGGTCACTGTGACGGGGTTCTTTGGCCTCCAAGAATCCAGGCTCAGTCGGGTTACCGGTGTTGGTGATTTACTGAGCTCAAAAACTCAAAACAGGGTGCAAAAGAAACTAAACATGTACAAGATCCTCTGGGCCTCAGCCTCCCTCCAGTTACCAGCAATGTAACAAAGAAACAGAAAACAGGAATGGCCGCTTTTCTTCCCACAGCCCTCGTTAAATAGTTTAAGCCCTTACAGGCTCT